CGCAACAGTCCAAAAAAAAAGAAAAGCCCACGGCGGGGCAGGCCAGATGGACGCAGGTCGGTCCGTCTGACACCTTTAGTTTTAAGCTTCCATACTTATGCTTGAAGTGCCGAAACACCTAGTCCCTAAAAAAGGAGATCACAAGTAGGACGAGATAGAGCTCTCGTGGCCAGTACCCAGACTTAACTGTGTAGTTACCAGATTTAGTGTGAGACCAGCTAAAACCATCACTCATATAAGTCCGGTTCGGGCGGATCCCCAAAATTAAAGGAATATCAAAAGGATAGATCAGAGCTTGAAGACATTCTCACTTCAATAACTTTGTAGTAAGATCGATAAGGTCATTAACCTAAAGATGAGGGTCTCTTATGTCAAGAATACTCTTGGTGGGTCTCGCAGGATTAATAGGAATCCAAGAATCCTCCCACACCCTAGTGAGCATTCTGGATCCTATGGTTCTTCGGAGACCCGAGACAAGAAGTGGTTTTGCAGCCATAATGCTTCGCTATCCGAAAGAAGTGTGATTTGATTTCTCTATATGAATAGGGTCATTAAACCAAAAATAACGCCCCCTCAAAACTCTACTCAAGAGAGAGTTTGGAAATCTAACAAGACGCTATAGCTGCTCTGCCGATAAAGCAAGATTGAATTCCTCTATCGTTCTAAAGCCAAGACCACCATCTGAGTATTGTGAGCACAATTTTTCCCATGTTATCCAGTGAATACCATTACTTTCTTCCCTTGTTTTCCACCAAAAGTTTTCAATAGCACTGCTAAGCTTAGATCGAATTGCTTTGGGGAGAAGGAAACACGACATAACACATGTGCGTCACAGATTTTATAAGTACCTCTTTGCTACCTTTGGACAGAAATTTAGCTGACAAAGTATTTATTCGTTTTTGGAATCTATCTCTCACAAAAGAGAAAACTTGGATTTTGGAACCATTGATTTTCTCAGGTAGCCCTATATACGAACCAATACCCTCATCCTTATGGATATCTAAATTCGATTTAATAGCATTCCGAATAGTAGTGTTTACTTCGTGTCCAAACATTACCGAGGACTTAGAAGCATACAATCGTTGTCCCGAAGCCTCACCACATAGGAGGAGAAAATTAATGATCTCTTGTCCTTGGAGGGGGTATGCTTTACAAAAGAGACTATCGTCTGCAAATAGGAGATGGGATGTGGATGGGCATGCTTGTGAAATTTGTAGACCTTGGATCCATTCATTCCATTCAGCGTCTTTTAGTTTTGCCACTAGTGCCTCCGTACATAAAATAAAAAGAAATTGGGTCGGCTTGTCGGATCTCTCTCGAGGGTTTAATGTAACTTCTCGGTACCCCATTCAAAAGAATTTTGAATGAGACCGAAGAAATACAAAAAATATCCACTCTACTCATTTTTGGGCGAAACCCATCTTTAGCATTAGTGCTCGTATAAAAGACCATTCAACGCATTCATAAGCTTTGCTCATATCTATCTTTATGGCCATAAAATATTTCCTGCAAGCCGGGTTTATTCGAAGAGCATGGAAGTTCTCCTGTGTGATAAGAATGTTATCAGTAATGAGTATGCTAGTCACAAGGGGGGATTGTGTCTCATATATTAAATCCGGAATAATTTTTTTAAAACGGGTACTTAAGAACTTTGAAATAACTTTATAACTAACATCGCATAAGTTACCGCGCAGAATTCCGCCATTTTCCATGGTCTTTCTCTATGTTGCATGGAAACGGAAACGGAAACGTGGAACCGAAACGTTTCGGAAACGGGAAACGATTTTTTTTTAAAATTAGGGATTGGAAACGTTTTGAAAACGTATACACATATATAATTTATGTATATATATAACATTAACATAAAACTATAAAAAAATGGTTTAATTAAACAATACAAGTCCAAAACATCAAATATTAAATAGGTTAACTAAAATTCTAAAAGAAAAAAAATTAAAAGGTTCAAGTTCAAATATTTAATTTAGACCAACAGTTTCATTCTCATTTTCATTAGTTTCATCGTAGATCATATAAAGATGCCTCCAAATCTAGTTTGTCGATAAAAAGATCTTAAAACTCAGAGTCTTCCAAAATTAGTTATATGTATTATAAATCTTAATCTTTTCAACTTTTATTTATTAAGTTTCCAAAGTCAATAAAAAGGATTTATCGCGTTTCCATTTTAGAAACGTGAGTTTCCATCGTGTTTCCAAACATAGATTTTTAGGAAACGCGTTTACGTGACGTTTTTCGTGTTTCCGAAGAGTTTCCGTTTCCGAAACGTTTCGGAAACGGGAAACGAAGCTCGAAGAGAGTTTCCATGCAACATAGGTCTTTCTCTCTTTGGGATCAAACAAATATTTGTCTCATTCAGCCGCTCATCAAAATAGCCCAAAGAATGGCCCTATTAAGTCCCAAAAATTTGATAGAAGATAGCCGTCATCGCATCCGGATCAGAACCTTTATTCGGGTCAAGCGAAACCAAGGCACGTTTAAATTTTTCTGGTGAGATTTTCTTGGTGGGCTTTGAATTCATGTCTTCTGTAATTAGCACGGAAATGTCGCAAGAAATGTTATCGAACTCTTTCGCATCGAGGTTGAAAGGAGGGATTTAAAATAATTTTCCGCTAGACCCTCGAGTCCCGTCTCAGTATCTACCCACAAACCATATTGGTTTAGTAGCTCTAAAATCGTGTTCCTTGTCCATCGTTGTTTAGTTGTGGCGTGAAAAAACTTTGTGTTCTTATCACCGTATTGCAGCCAAATCTCCCGACTCTTTAGTCTCCAAAAGATTTCCTCCTCTCTATAAGCTTCGCATAGCTTCCATTTTAAAGCTAGTATATTAGAAGAAAAGGAATCATCTTCACTAGGCTAATACTCGATTGAATTTGTTAGTTATAACAAATTTACATCGATTGAATTAGTTTGATCAATAATGTTTTTGAAGCTTTTTTTCTAAAAATCATTTTGACGTATTCCTCTATCTCTTGGGTAAATAATTCATTCTATTTTTAATTATGTTTGATTACATTGTTTAGCACTTATTTACAATAACTTACCTTAAAAACAAAAACAAAAAAAATATTTTGTTATCTTTAAAGTAATTTTAAATAAACGAAAACGAAGTGTTGATTTAGTATCTTATATTTGCTTTAAAATAAACCATAAATTCAACTAATATTTATTGTCATTAATCCTACATATATTATAAATTTGTAGTATACGAAAACATGAAAAAATTCTAATATCATATTATTTAATATTTATATGTTAATAAAATCTAAAATTTAATTAAATATCCATTGATTTTATGTTTATGCATAAGTTCATACAATTTATACAACTAAATTTAAATAATTAATTTCTATATGAGTTTGATATACTTATGTAACTAATTAAATTGACATTAATTAATAAGTTTAAATATGTCAATATTCATAAAAGCAAGAATTAATACATGATTTAAATTCATAACTAAATAAAATAAAATAATAAATGTAATATGTTGATGTAGCATATGGCATTATCTCTAGTGCTGACATGGAGGAAGGATGGATAGAGTTGCCTCTTTTCCTAATATTCCAAAAAACTATTCTAGTTTGTAGTTATGTTTTTTCTATTAACTAGCTAATTTTCCTAATATTAATTTGATTTTCTTCATTTCTAATTATCAAAATGTATTAGTTATATATTAGTTAAATATATGATGTCCACGGTAAAAAGATCTTCCGGATCGATCATTGCATAAACACATATATTGTTGGAAACTGGGGTAGAATATTTTTTGTATTTTTTTCTCAAAGAAGAACATATTTAAACATAATTATTACTCCCTCTATTTTAAAATATAAAATGTTTTGGTTGAAAGCATACATTTTGAGAAATTTTTTATTTTAAAAAAACTATCATTTAATATTTCATTTAAATACTTATAAAAAGACTATAAAATACAAATAGTCATAAAATATAAAATATATTTAAATTTGTATAGAAATTACTCTAAAACATCCTATATTTTAAAAACAGAGAGAATATGTAATGACTATAACTTTGGTCAGCCACTCCAAGCATATACTATTCACTATTAATATAAACAGTTTCCACTAAAAACATTACTATAACAATCAATTATTAAAAGAATGCGCTCATAAACCATTAATTTCCAAAAACAATTGTATACCAGTTATAAATAATTATAATAAATGAACTAATTGTCATTTTTATCAACATATTAACTTTGAAAGAATCCATGTATGAAATGGCCATGGACACAAAAACAAAATATGTTTTTCCGTTTTCTCTAAGAAAAAATCAATTAGATAGAAACCAATACCGAAGTTAATTAAATATTTTTACTAAAGTACTGATAATAATGCATACCATCAGAATCTAATACTTTTTTCCCAACATATTAGAAAAATAAAAAAATGGCTTTTTCAATATTAGCAAAATTATCGTTGCTTTATAATACCTCAATAAACATGTAATACCTTTTCCTATCTCAATGATAAGAAAATAAACAAATTACTAAACCTTTTTAGTTTGTGCATAAAATAGAGTTAACATTAACGAAAGTTAGTAACTGTTAATTCAGCTAACACAGTGGCTTTGATGTAGCATTTTTCCGGTGCCTTTTTATAGCTTAACAAAATACCCACTGTCTTTTCCTGTCTTAGTAAATAAAATTTTTGAAAAACCTACAACTAAATATTTTAAAAACACTACAAGAAAACATCTGTTTTGCGAGGGAAGGATTCCTCGTAAATCCCTCGCAAAACGCTTGTAGCAAGGGATTTGCTACGCCACGTCATTCCTCGCAAAACGCGGCTCGCAAATGTAATAACTCGTAAGTGCTTCGCAAATTTTGCGAGGAACTTATTTCCCTCGCATATTTTGCGAGGACCACAATCCCTCGCAATAATTATGAGTAGCACTTCCCTCGCAAATTTTGCTAGGGATTTGCAAGTCTGTTGCGAGTCTTTTTTTGTTTTTTCATTTACGAATTTTATCCTGATTTATTTTTTTGGTGATTTTAATTAGATTTTCAAAAACATTCAAAAACATAAATGAAATTAGTAAAACATTCAATTAACTCCTAAATGATTCAAAAACATAAGTGTACATTCAAAACATGTCTTAAACCAAATCTTAAAACATAAGTCTTAAACAAATTCAAAACCAAGTCTTAAACCAAGTCTTAACACAGAGAAATTAAAAAGCTTGTGAAGTAGAGGAGGCTGGTCTGGTACCAGTTCCTGTCTCAGTTCCACCGGTCTGATCGGTTCCGGTCTGATCGCTTCCGACCTCGTTTCCCTCCGCAGTTCTTGTGGCTTCTGCATTTGCCGGTTCAGATGGTCCTTGATACATGCCTGCAAACACTGGATCCTTCTCTGCGAGGTATTGCCAATAGGCATCGAAGCTATTGATCTTCTCAGCCTGAAGTTGAAGACGAGCTTCAGCAGCAGCAAGCTTCTCCAATAGAACCTCTCGATCATTATGAGTAGGCAGTGGACCAACATGGACTGAGGATGCTTCATTCTGCAGAGAACCAACCCCATACAACCTTCCTTTCTTCCTTGGAGCAACCTGATACAAACCACACAAGTATAATGAGTGGACTGCCAAGAGACTAAGTACTAATGACGTTTGGTCATCACACAAGTATGCTGCCAACATCATCACACAAGTATAATGCTAACAAGTATGCTGCTAACAAGTATGCTGCTAACATCATCACACAAGTATGCTGCCAACATCATCACATAATCACATAATCACACAACACACAAAGACTAAGTACTAATTAAAGACACTCTGAATTGAAATATATACAGGATTACCTGAGCATAGATCTTGTTCTTGGCAGCCACTGATAATCCACCTGAAGCAGAGCTCTCTGTATTATCCCCTGTAAACAGCTGAGACTCCTCCTCTCCAATCCTTGATGACACTTCCTTGTAGATCTCCTCTGACTTTCTATCAATGAAAGTCCCATCAGGTTTGCGATGAGTTTGCTCAAGAACCACCAGAAAATCTGGTGTTGAATCACCAGTCTCCTCACACTAAAACAAAAGAAAAAGATTTAAGTGTTAGTTCAATATGCATAAGTATATGTATGAGAAAGAAAACAGAGTTAACTTACATGCTTTCTGGCACGGGATTTGAAAGAGGTCTGGCCAGAACGGTGTTTAGATATACCAAGGCCATCGGGATCATGATATCGAGCATTTCTACTGTTGATACTCCTAATTTCTGACTTAGGATCACGCTAAAAACGAACAAGTCCAGCCCACACTTCAGGATCAATCCATTTAGGCTTTGCCTCATCACCTTTATTCTTCCACTTTCCCTTCCACCGAGAAACTTGATCAGACATCCTATCCTTCAACTTGTCCTCAAACTCATCTCTAACTCTCTCATTTATGGACTTGTCCCAGTTGTACATTTGCTTCAAAATAAAAAACAGAGTCAGAAATAGCATCACATACATTTGTAGAGTAAAACAAAGCTAAACTAAACAATTTCACTTACCGCAAAAGTCTCATACCAACGATTGACCACTGCATCAGGAGTCTGTGTCCAATTGGCATGAGGTTCCTTGAAATCTCTTTCAAAAATCTTGCGGACAGAAGCTGCAACTGATACATCAATGTCAAACCTACAACAAAAAAATCAATTACAATGAGAATCTACATTATTAAAATACAATGAATCATATATCCAAGTTTCCTTACCAGAGAGTTCCCGGAGGACGATTTGGATCTAGTCTCTGAAGAGACTAACGCCCCGGACTGTCAAGGAGCTCCTCCAATGTCAGATCGTTGAGACGCCCAGTTGGTGGATGAGTAGCTGAATGAGATGGATTAGGAGAGTTTTGATTGGATGGTGGAGGAGACAGACCGGCTTGTTGGTTTTGACTGGCTGGTGAGGGTGGATTACAGTTTCTAGATGCATTCCCATGAGAATTGGAAACACGAGGAACAGTGCCTTGAGATCTGGAAGCACGAGGAACAGGTGCATTCCCTTGAGATAGAAACTTGCTGTAATCGTTTCCAGAGAAAGACATCTACGAGAAAAAAAAAAGAAAAAATTAGTAACCAAAACAGAGAAAGATGCACGAAATCAAACTCTAATCTAAACCCTAATTAAAAACCCAAATTAAATCCCCAAATCAAACCCTAAGTCGATTCTAAACCCTAATTGAAACCCGATTTAAAACCCTAAATTAAACCCCCAAATTAAATCCCCAAATCAAACCCTACAAGAAAATTTAAAACCCTAATTGAATCCCGATTTAAACCCTAATTGAAACCCTAATTAAAACCCCAAATTCAAACCCTAATCCAAACCCTAAATCGATTTAAAACCACAAATCAAACCCTAAAGAAACCCTAAAACGAATTAACACGAAATCAAACCAAAGTCAATTCAAATCGACAAAGAAAATACAAAGTATAAAGAGAGCAAACACTTAAACCTTTCGCAAAATCTTCAGATCTGAGAATCGGAGACCGGAGAAGAGAGAATCGGAGTATGAAGTGAACCAGAGAGGAGAGAATCGGAGAAAGGAAGAGAATCGGCGAAAGAAGAGATCGGAAAAGAGAGAATCGGCGAAGGAAGAAAGAATCGGTGAATTAGGGTTTTCGCGATATGCGGCTGGTTTGAGCTTCGCTCAAACTAGGTCATTAGCATATATAGATATTTGACACGTCGCAAATCCCTCGCAAAATTTGCTAGGATTTTGCGAGGAACCGCCAAAACAACCAATCAAAATGAGGCATATATTGCGAGGGAATTGCGAGATTACCTAGTAAATCCCTCGCAAACTCTTCATTAGGGTTTTTAAAAAACACAAAGACATGCTTAAATATTATTAATCTTCATTAGGGTTTTTAAAAACACAAAGACATGCTTAAATATTATTAATCATGTCTTATTCATTTTCTGATTCATTTTTCTATTTCTAGAAACTCCCTCATAAAAAAACATGACTAAATATTTTAAATAATTTAGGGTTTAGGGTTTTTAAAAAATACAAAGACATGCTTAAATATTACTAATCATATCTTATTCATTTTCCTATTTCTAGAAAGTCCCTCAGAAAGAAAAAAAACATAACTAATTATTTTAAATAATTTAGGGTTTAGGGTAAAGATTTGCGAGGGAAGTGCTACGAACGCCTTGCAAATCCCTCGCAAATTCATTATTTAGGGTTTTAGTTTTGCGAGGGAATTACTAGTATCCCTGGCAAAACTCTCGCAAAACCCTCGCAAAATAGAGATCAATTTGAAAAAACCAATAAAACACTACTTAAAATCATTAAGATTCATTTTCTTTAATCACTAGGAAGTTAATTATCTACATTAGAATCTACTTTCTGATCATATACTTCGAATTCATCCGAATGTGCATTTTCTTAATGATCATCTTATGTTTTTCTATAATATGAATCCAATGTTATAACATTTTTAAAAAAAAATGTTAATATTGAAACCTATCCAACATTTTTTTATGCATCACTATATATTCAACTTGTCTGATTATATGGCTTCTTAGATTCACATTTATAAATGAAAATCAAAGTTCGCAAAACAGTTTTACGTATTTTAGGGTTTAGGGTAAAGATTTGCGAGGTATGTGCGGGTTATTTGCGACGGAGTAAATATTTCCCGCTAATTACTCGTAACTGCCTCGCAAATTTGCGAGGAAGATTTCCCTCGCAAAATTTGCGACGGATTTGCAACCCGCGTCCTTTTCGTAGCAAATTACTTGCAATTCCCTCGCAAATTTGCGAGGAACGGCTTCCCTCGCAACTTTCCGTCGCAAAGCGACTGTTTTCTTGTAGTGAAAGGAGGTTTTGTCTCCTATGAAAAGGATCCACAACTTTATACTAAAAACTCTAGTTCTTGAGCGAAACCTAACTTGTTCCTCAAAGAGATTATGTATCCCTTTTGTAATCGAGTTCTCAATAAAGAGATTATTCTGAATTTGGTTTCCCCCGTTAAACATAATTTTTGTGTGAATTCTCTTTTTTGGTGTGAATTCTTGATTCAACATATATGTTTCTATGTCCCACTTAAAAAAAGAACATAACAAAATGAAATCAAAATCTCTAAATCCCGATTAAAAAGACGACATTGTTTTTTGAACAATTCTTGGGTTCACCCCTAGGGGTGAACCCAATTCATTCACCCCCTTTTTAATCACCAATCAAAATTTGACATGTCATCTAACTAAAACAACTAATATTATCTAAACAAAATAATTAAACTAAATCATTAAAAACTCAAAATTAAATTAATTGTAGGCCCTACTACTCTCTCTCCCACGTCTCTCTCTTTTCTTTTTTTTTTTTCTTTTTTCAAATATTGTTTTTCTTCAACTTTAATAAAAAATGTAAAAAAAATAATTTAACCAAAATAATTAATAGTAAAGCTTTAGCATTTCCATATGTTTTCTGTCTTTGTATTCAAAATGATCGAGCTTTACAATAAATCTCCGTAACTTTTGTCAAATTCCTACAAAATATAAGATTTCAAATCATGAAAAATTTGACCGAAAAGTCAAATATAAATAGTAAGAGTAAATTATTTACCTGAAACACTTGTGAAGAAAAAGACCCCGTCTGTAAAGTCGGACTGCTTGTAGCTACAGATAAGTGGATATCGGAAGCAAAAGTTGAACCCTGAAGCATTTATCGATTTTATCTTGTAATTAATATACATACATCTATTGACGAAGTCACCGAAAAATCAAATATAAATAGTAAGAATGAATAGTTTACTTGTAGCACTTGCGAGGAAAATGGCTCTGGCTGTAATGTCGGATTGCTGGTAGCAAAAGTTGAGTCCTGAAGCATTTATCAATTTTATCTTGTAATTAATATATATACATATATTGACGAAGTCACGTTTTGCTGGAAATTGGACATAAACGAAAAAGAAGAATTATTTATCAAATACCTGAAACGATAATTTTCTCTTTGATGTACCCCGTTTTTTCGTTTCAAGAGCATTCAAATATCGACCGTGGGGTCCGACCTTTTTGTTCTTTGGTCGTCCAACAGTAGCTTTTCTTTTAATTCCACGTGCATTTAGAACTTCCTCGTCTTTTTCTTCTCTTTCCACATGTTCAACATTTGAAGTTGGGAGCATCCATGCATTAGCCTTCACAAGTTCTTTTTTCTTTTCCTCCAATTTTTTAAGCAATTCACATGCAGCTTCATTCGCACACATCGTCAATTCTACATGTTCAGCAGCAACAGATGCAATCTCACGAAAATTGTGACATAAATGGCTATAACGCTTTCCAATCGATTGCGTTACTGTTCCATTAAATGTCTCTGAACGATAAGAAAATATGTTTCGTGATTTTGCCTCTTTACTCCATCGATTCAAGATGTAGCTAGATGAAATTCTCCTAACATCCTTCTTATCCAATACTTTCAATGCATGACGACATAAGATCCCAGCAAAAGAGTACTTCATGCAACTACACTGTATCGTTTGGTTTGTAGCATCATAATTAACCAAATGCTCTCGCGGTCCACCACGATAAGATACTTTGTATTCATACACCATCTCAGACTTACTGACTTTTTTAGCAACATAATCACCGATAACTGTATATTGCTTCTGAAACAACTTAAAAACTTCGGGTGTATACACCTCCTCTGCATGTTGCAACATCTCTACGGTAGCAGATAATACCGAAGAGGTATGCATCATTTTGAAGTCAGCATTTAACTCGTTATATCGCCGATCATCCAACACTCTCTCATAGTGTTCAAAGAAGGACAATAAGTCATAACTACTCTTCAAGTATCTTTTCAAAATATTATTCATACTTTCACTACGTTGTGTGCTCACCATATCTGCTGTAAAAGTATGACGTCCATATACCATTGCCCATTTTTCTCTCACCTCAAACATATTCTTTAACCATTTATTCTCTGTCAAATTATGCTTATTGAGCATATTACTCCATGCCAATAACCAGTCTTCTTCTTCCTCATGGTCATATACACAGTTTCCAAAGTCTGTGGCAAACTGTCCTGGCCCATGAAATACATGACTCAACTTTTTTGCAGCATTTTGGTAAATATGCCAAACACATAACCTACGTTTTGTTTCAGGAAATACCTTCACTATTGCATTCGCCATTGCTGCAGATTGGTCAGTAAGAATAGTTTTTGGTTGTTTTCCAGACATTGCTCCAAGAAAAGTCTCGAAAAGCCACTTATATGACTCAGTGGTTTCATCATATAAGAGAGCAGCACCAAACACTACAGTTTGCTTATGATGATTGACCCCGATAAATGGTGCAAATGGTCTATCATATTCATTAGTCTTGTAAGTTGTGTCAAAACAGACGACATCTCCAAAAAGATTATAATCACTTATAGACCGATCATCTGCCCAGAAGATATTCGTGATCATATCGTCCTCATCTAGTTGCATTGAATAAAAAAAAGATGAATTATCCTCTTTCTTTTTTTGAAAGTATTCCAAAACTGCTCCAGCATCTCCTTTTACCATTTTTTCCATTCGCTTTCGATAAATGTAATTACGATAGTCTTTCTCCAAAAACCCCAGATTTTCTCGCCCTCCAACTTCTCTACTCATCATTTCAACAGTTGATTTTGCTGAAATTCCTGACATCTCGGCATCATCAGCATGTTGTATTTGAGCGACAGAGAACATCCGGTTTCCCTTCAGCAAATGCTTCATAGGCGTCTTCACTAAATCATGGTTATGATTCTGGTTGAAAGACACAATCTTATATCTTCCCGTCCTCTGAAGGTAGCAAGTCATATGAGCTTTACAACCACACCGTGTAATTGGCTGTGAATAACATGTCTTGATCTAAGGTTCCTTCCTAAACCCTTCTTTTGAACAAACATAGAGAAGCCTTACTACTTTATCATTTTTTTTCTTTCTCCGTTGTTTCCTTACATTGAAACCATGTTCACCTGCAAACTTTTTATAAGCTTTATGTGCAGTTTCATCAGAACTAAACTCCATTCCAATACACAATTCATCTTTTTTCTCTTCAGTTTTAACGCAGTTCTCTTTGTTATCATCTTTTTCTTCTTCGAATTCACTGACTGAAGCTTCGTCTTCACTTACTGAATCATATTTTTCCTCATCACTACTTTCCATTGCAATCTGCACTAATAAATATATTATTATATATATATATATATATATATATATATATATATTTCTATTATGTTGTATAAATCTTGCCAATAAAACAAAAAAATAGCACGGTACGATCTTACGACAAAAAAAAAATATGAGGAAGAAGAACAATTCTTTATGTGGTGCAAAAAAAAAAAAATTGACAATTGAAAACTAAGTTAACAAAAAATAGAATACAAATAAAACCATACCAAACAAAAAGAATAACATCACCTACTAACATGCTTTCAAAACACAAACAACGTCCTACTTATATGATATTCAATACATGAATCAAGTAGATAGAAAATCTTCAATTGACTAATTTTTAAACTAAGAAACTTTGATGTAAATATAAAAATTATTTTGACTTACGTTTAAATTGTGTAGAAACGTGAAACTCTTTCCTTTGATAAAACTAATCTCTTTTGATAATATGTGAGAAGAAGAATAGAAAAAATGAAACTCTTTCCTTTGATAAAACTAATCTCTTTTGATGATATGTGAGAAGAAGAATAGAAAAAAAATTATGAATAAGGTTAGGGTTAATGACTTTATATAACATTTAGAATTAGGGTTTTTATTGACTTATTAAGTTTTTTTTTCCTATTGGATTTAGGAGTATTACGTGAATGAGAGAGTTAGTGGCCCCACAATTAATTCAATTTTAATTTTTAATGATTAAATCTGATGAAACTAAATTATTTTTTTTACATTTTTATTAAAGTTAAAGAAAAACAATATTTGATAAAAAACAAAAAAAAAAAACAAAAGAGAGAGACGTGGGAGAGAGAGTAGTAGGGCCTACAATTAATTTAATTTTGAGTTTTTAATGATTTAGTTTAATTATTTTGTTTAGATAATATTAGTTGTTTTAGTTAGATGACATGTCAAATTTTGATTGGTGATTAAAAAGGGGGTGAATGAATTGGGTTCACCCCCCAAGAATTGTTCTTGTTTTTTTGTTTATACTCAAACTACCAAAAATAATGCCGTTTGGTTCTGCAGAAATGCCACATCAAAAGTCATTGTGTCAGTTGTGTCACATGATTTAACAGCTGACTAACATTAGTTAATACCAACTCAATTTTATGCTGTGACAACTGAGTAAGCAGAATGTAAATAACCAACATGAAGAATGGTTAGGTATAGTTTTCTTGTTTCAACAATTTGTTATCTAATTTTAGTTTTTTTGGCACTACAACTAAATAGTTTAAAAATAATTATTTTCTAAACTCAAAACATTCATACCTAAATGAACTTTCATGTAAACATTCATACATTAATATATATATATATATATATATTGAAACGATTAAAAAACATTTGCATGTATACGTTTTTTGTTTGGTTCAAATTGCATGTGTACCATGTTTCAGTTTCCAAGTGTCGTAAAAATCAAGTTCCGGGGGGCCCTTAAGTGGAGGCTTAAAAATCTCAGGCACGCGGGCTTAGGTCCAGTGGGCTAGTCGGATCACTGTGTGGTCTGGACACTGGGTTATCAAAAAAAAAAAAATCAAGTACGAAGACTTAATTTAATGTCGTCATGACATCACATAACACATGAACAGTAAACAACAACAAAAATAGTTAACAAAAGAAAAGGAATATCTGAACGCACAAGGAATCTTCCTACTTCACTTTGAGCTAAAAATGCTCTTAGTGATCAATTAAATTAACAATTATATAGCAATTTCCTACAAATCTTCTACTATATATTCTTCAATACCCATAACTAAAATTTCCATAGCTGCACTTAAACACAAGAGAAAAAAGAGACTGATAAAACAAATAATGAGACCGACACCAAAAGTAGAAATCTGGAAGTCACCAGTACCATATCTCTTTGGTGGCCTCTTTTTGCTTGTTTTGCTTATAGCTTTGGCATTACTCTCATTGGTCTGCACACACCAAAAATCTCCTTCTTCTTCAAACAATAACAATCCTATAGATGAAGAAGACAACGTCGGTGACAAGGAAGCTAAGCCTATTACAAGTGAGTACTTACCTAAGATCGTCGTGATTTTGGCCGGAGACAATAAACCTACTTGCTTGGCTGTTCCAGTCGTGGTTCCTCCGCCCTCTTCCATTTGTCGTTGTAACTGTGACAATGTTACTTTTGTCTCAGCCTAACCATTAACATCTTTTTTTTTTTTCCTTTTTCCAACAAAAATAATAAGAGATTGTAACTTTTGTAATAATCTTGGGCAATTTTGTAAAAGTCGACAGTTTTTTTGGGGATTAGATTTAAGTTTTGTATTATTGCTTTCATGCTTTTGTTTGTTGAGTTTATTTATGGAAATATAGATCTATCAAATGAATTATTTTTCTCTTCTAATACAATGTTAAAACTAGAAGATATAATATTATGTCTTACGTGATTATTCTTTTTTTGAACAAATTTATTAATTAAGAATTCGTGTACATCTCCAAGTTTCTGCAGGTGGTGAGCTCCGGACCATTCTTCAATGAAAACATAGCATTTTTGCGTGAGCCAATGATTCTACACGAAACATCGTCAATTAACACTATCAACGAATAAAAAGTACCGACTGAAAAAAGTTATTAACAATATGAAGAGTTTGAACATGATAATTATTCACAACAGCAATATTGGTATACGCTAATTCTATTAATAAACGTAAATAGCATTAGTAATGATAAAAGACATGCTTTATAATTTTGAATGTGGGGTTTTCTAATTAAAAATTATAAAAAATATATATATAAAATGATGAATTTAATAACTTTCACATTGATTGGCGGCTATTGGTGGACGCCGCGGCTTGAAAACGCAAAGAATTGGACGGTCCAAAGTGGGATTTGTTACTTTTGCACTGTGTGGTTCTTAAGTGGTCACTTTATTTATGCTGCATATGCATATAGGTTTCTCTATATAAGTAAGTTTTATTGTTTGTATTCGTCACCATATACTGTATGTAATATACTACATATTTGAAAATGAAAATCTATAATATGAATTTATTTACATTATATTTTACTATTAACAAATATTTAAAATAATTAAATCAAGAAAAAAAAAACATAATTTTAAAGCAAATAAGTTAGCACACAAATGCTTGTGTACAACCTCTTTATATATATGTAAGTAATGTTTTCGGATTGGCTCATTTGAGATAACTATCTAATTTAAAACTGTGGAATAAAAAAGGGAGACTCACAAAAATGCCCCTTTTTCAATACCCCTTTTCAAAAATGTCCCCTTTGGCTGTCCATTTTTAAAAATACCCCTTTTTATGTACAAAATGACTAAATTACCCTTCTTTTAATAAAAGATATCACAAATATATAAGGAAATATAACAAAATTAGGTCCACAAAATACAAAATATTTTTTGGCGGGAAAAGTGATTCCGCAATTTTTCCCGCCAAAACACTTGTAAAATTTTGTAAAACCTTTAAAATACCTTGTAAAATTTTCCCGTAAAACTTTTTCCCGCCAAAAAATTTTCCCGCCAAAAATTTTTTTTTGCGGGAAAAGTGATTCCGCAATTTTTTTGGCGGGAAAATTTTTTGCGGGAATAATTTACAAGGTATTTTAAAGGTTTTTTACAGGGTATTTATAAGGTTTTACAATGTATTTTAAAAGGTTTTACAACGTATTTATAAGGTATTTATAAGATATTATAAGATTTTACAAGCTATTTTATAAGGTTTTACAAGTTATAAGGTTTTACAAGTTTTTTATAAGGTTTTACAAGTTATAAATACCTTATAAAACCTTATAAGTACCTTGTAAAACCTTTTAAAATACATTGTAAAACCTTACAAAACACTTGTAAATACTCTGTAAAACCTTTAAAATACCTTGTAAATTTTTCCCGCCAAAAATTTTCCCGCCAAAAAAATTTTGCCAAAAAAATTGCGGAATCACTTTTCCCGCAAAAAAAATTTTTTGGCGGGAAAAATTTTTACGGGAAAATTTTACAAGGTATTTTAAAGGTTTTTACAAGTGTTTTGGCGGGAAAATTGCGGGATCACTTTTCCCGCCAAAAAATATTTTGTATTTTGTGGACCTAATTTTGTTTCAAATAAGGGTAAAATGGTCATTAAAAATTAAAAGAGGGCAAACTTAAAAATGTACTCTTAAAGGGGGCATTTTTGAAAAGGGGTGTTGAAAAAGGGGCATTTTTAACAATTTCTCAATAAAAAAATACAATAATATGAGGCATGAATAATATTCGAAAATTAAAGCTTTAATATGAGGCATGAATAATATTTCCAAAAGAAAGATAATAATTTGCTAGGTTTTCGAATATTATCCATAGGTTTTCTAAATATATGGTGTAGTCACTATGATGCAATCTCCTCCGAATTTGCCTGCTTTTTCTAACCTTTTTGATGAGTTTGATTCTCTCCGAACTAATTATCTTATTTTCTCACTTAAGATTTCTCACTTTTGTAATTTATAGTCCGATTGTTTAGCCAAGACTTCTAGATATTCAAGTTCTAAAATTTTTTATGTAAACTATTTTCCTCCTTTTTAAGCTACCACTCAAAGTGTGAATTTTTAATTAATGTGTGGTTGAAAAAAAAAATAATTGTCTTCCAAATTAATTGACTATCTTATTTATTTGCTTTCTACATTTATCTTTGTTACATGTAAAATTACACAGAAAAGTTTTTTACCCTTAATGATAACTCTAAGTGCACATGCAAACACATTAATATTTAGGGATCGAATCCATAGAGAACAAAGAAATACACATTAGACTATATAGACTTAAACTAAGTTAGAAAAACAGAGAGTTAAG